ATATCTGCCAGCTCTTGGGAGAACCAGGGGTTTTCACGACCTTTTATCCTATATCTTCTTAATGGAGCATGTTTATTCACAATTTGCATAAACCCATCCTTAAAGAATGCCCACGCTAATTCTACATCAGGGATCAATCCTATTTTCTTCCAGTCATAATTTGACAAATCATGATAAAATGCTTGCTCATTAAAATGTTTAAGAGTTCTCATTCATGAGCGTAACCTGGCTTGGGCCAAAGCGAGGAAAACAGGCTACCCCAGTGATTGGCTTCTTTTCAGACAACTAAGAAACAGATGTACTTCCTCTATTAAGAAAGCTAAAACAGAATATTATCTGTCTGTCACCACTGAGAACCTAAATAATCCACAGAAGTTCTGGAAAATCATTAAGTCTTTTTCAGTGAGTAAAAGCTCCCACGCTCTACCCACCTATGTTTTTAAGGATTCTGTTCCTGTTTATGATAGGAAGGAGATTATGAATTGTTTTAACAAGCACTTTATATCTTCTGGCTCTTTGTTTGACTCTCTGAACCCAGTCTTTGTAAAATCTGGCACAAACCTTCCGGTGTACACTGGTCAGCCATTTAACTTTGTTCCTTTCTCTGTGCAGGAGGTCTGTAAAGCTCTTAAACTGTTAGATCCTAGAAAATCTCCAGGGCCTTACTTCTTGAAACTGGCTGATTTTGTAGCAGAGCGTCTCACAACACTTTTCAACCTCACACTGGATACGAATAAAATTCCCTCAGTATGGAAATCAGCTTTTGTTGTTCCTCTATTAAAAGGGGGCGTCCCAGCAGTGTTAACTAATTACAGACCAATATCTAATCTATCTGTGCTGGCCAAAGTTCTTGAAGCTCTTGTGTGTGAGCAGTTAAAGGAGTTTTTGCACACCAATGCCATTTTATCTGAATATCAATCAGGCTTTAGGAAGAATCACAGTTACTATCACAGCTGCAATTAGAGTGGTAAATGATATTACTATTGCACTTGATAAAAAAACAACACTGTGCATCCCTTTTTATTGATTTGTCAAAAGCATTTGACACTGTTGATCATTGTATTTTAAAACTTAGACTCTTCCAGTCAGGACTCTGTGAGAGAGCAGTGGCATGGTTCTCAAACTACCACAGTAACAGGACTCAGTGCATTAAATCTGACGGTCTATGTTCTGGCTTTGTTACAGTGCACAACGGAGTGCCACAGGGTTCTGTATTAGGTCCCCTTCTATTTATCATTTACGTAAACAATCTTAGTCTACATGTGCCAGATGCAAACTTGCACTTCTATGCTGATGATACAGTTATTTACAGCTGTGGTTCAACTCTTGTCCAAGCCATCGAGTCCTTGCAGAAAGCCTTTTCTGCTGTCCAGCACTCATTACATCAGCTTAAACTTGTTCTCAACGCAGACAAAACAAAGCTCATGTTGTTTTCTAAATCAAGGAGACGAGCCCAAACAATCCCATCAGTAACCACTCTTGAAGGTAATAAAATAGAGTTGGTTCACACCTATAAATATCTGGGAATCTTAATTGATGACTCGCTTACCTTCAAACCACATATAGTGAATCTTGTGAAAAACCTGAAGTTAAAACTGAGTTTTTATTTTCAAAATAAGTTGTGTTTCTCTTTTAATACAAAGAAGCCACTTGTTGCTGCAACATTCTTGCCTGTGCTGGATTATGGTGATATTTTATATATGAATGCTTCTGCATGTCTTCGAATGGTTGATTCTGTGTATCATGCTTCTCTGAGGTTCATCACTAACTGTAAATTTCAGACTCACCACTGTGAGTTATACTCTCAGGTAGGATGGCCTGCTTTGGTATGTCGGAGGAACTGTCATTTATACAGTTTTATATATAAGGCGATACTTGGGTTGCTACCTTCTTATATATGTTCCCTGCTTGTAATGAAACATGCTGGTCGGTATTCTCTTCGTCCGCATGGTTACATGTTGCTTTCTGTTCCATTTGCCCGAACTGAACTTGGTAAAAGAGCTTTTGTCCATTTAGCACCCTTGGCCTGGAACAAACTGCAGAAGGAATGGAAAATGACTGAATTCATTTCATTAAGTGATTTTAAATCTAAACTACGAATCCTTGAGGCCAAGTCCATAAAATGCAACTGTTTCAATTAGATTGATTGTCATTTTAACTGACTTTTTATTTTATTTGAATTTTATTGAATTTTATTGAATTTTATTTTTTATTTTATTTGTATTCTTTCACTTATTGTTGCATGTGTGTTGTTGCTGCCTGTGTTTGAGTAATTTCTGTAACTGTGAGACATCTGCTGCTGCCTATCTTGGCCAGGTCTCCCTTGAAAAAGAGGTTTTTAATCTCAATGGGATCTTCCTGCTTAAATAAAGGTTAATAAATAAATAAATAACTTTTTAAGTAGTAACTAGTACTGTAATTAATTACTTTTTCAAAGTAACCTGCCCAACACTGGGGATGAGACAATATTATTTAATTGCACTTAATAGTTTCAATACCTGGTTGCGCACTCAGTGCCGTTTATCTCTTAAACTCTCTGAAACTTTAAACTGGATCAGTTTAAACAGAGCTTGCTGTTTCACAGCCCGATAGTCTGTTTGTCGCAGATCAAAGTGAAATTAATTTTATTGGCTGAACAGGTATTCTTGGTGTGTATTTGTCTTTCCAGCTGTGTAAAAAGAGACAAATAGGCAGATTTTGGCCTTTTGGTCACTGCTATTGGGTCAATACTGTTTATTTTTCACCAGGCTAATAATCACAACAACATTTATAACAAACACATGGATATTCCATTAACAATGCAAGGCTTCATTCAGCAGTTTTAGTAAGGTGTGCCTTAACAAGCTGCACCAGCAGAGAATCCACGTTGCACTCAAAACATGCTTTACATAAAAGAATCTATGAAAATGGAGTGCTTGATTTTAAACCCAAACTCTGAACATAACCTGCTGCCTTTAGTTTTTAATTCTCTCAGCAGCTTGAATAAAACCGTCATTGCATTGTTCACTGTCAAAAGGAAAAACAAAAAGACACAACCCACAAAATTTTACACCCACACACAGGTCTGAGGAATCTTCCAGAAAATGGTGTCACATTTTCTGGAGATCTGCAGGTCAGGTCAGCAGGTGGTGACGGCATGTCTCTTGATTTCTAATCTGGAACCAAACCTGCTCTGGAGCAGATTACGTTCACAGTTTAAGTTACCATGGTGATTTACCCGATAAGTGAACCGCATTAGTACAAAAAAAAAAAAATTACCTGAATAAGCCAGAAGCCGGTTTTGTTGTAAAGACCTCTGGACAGGAGCAGGTCATGTGTTCAGCATAAGTTGTGATTTAGCCAGGTAAAAAGAAGTAGTTCACTTTCATGACAAAACTGACAAGGCCACATATCTTGCCAACTGTGTATAGTAAACCGCTTCGGTGGATGATAAGAGATTAAATATGCTGCTACTCAAGAATCTAAAGAATATTAAGAGTTTCACTTCCTGGTGAATAGGGGAAAAAAAACAAAAACAAACAAATGTTACAACATGTACACCTGCTTTCTACGTGTTAGCATGCTTCAGTTGCTTGCGTGTGCAACATAATGACAGCCTTGAAAGATAACCAAACAGAAGCATGAGTCAACACTGGAGGATTTCACAACAACCACCGTTGCAAATATTCACTTCTTTATAAATACAAGTCCAGATTCTAGGCAGCAATTTTGTAGTGCAGTTTAGTAATGAACAGAAGTTTAATGTTGATCTAGAACCTTTTATTTGAAACTAAACCACTGAAAAAAAACATTCACAATGATTTAACAGCCATCTCTTTTCCTTATTAAAAATCCACTATTGAAACATAAAAACCCTTCACTGATTCAACTCACAGTCTAAATGTCTAAGCGGTGTTTCAGCTCATCAAGGACAGAGAGAAATGAAGAATGCTGGGTTGAAATGGCGCTTGATTCATTCTGGTATATGGATTCACCAATGTGACCCAACACAACATGCATACAGACTTTGTTTAAACAGTAAGACCCACTGAGAACAGCACCAGTTCACCTGCAAAATACCACATAAGCCCCTCTACAAGAAAGCATTTAACACTTTGAGCCTGATATTAAAATTTACAAACACATGACATAAAATGTTATAAATCACCTACTATTTACATCAAGAAAACATTTTACCCAATTTTTTCCTAAATGGCAGCAATTTAAAATAGAATTCAAGTTAAGCTTTGCTTCTTAAACATAAATGATAATATTTCAGATTTTCTTTATGGCAGAGAAAGGCAAAAAGGCAGGAAAGACATCTGGCTTCATCTAAATCAGTCTTCATTTGTACCTTAGTAGCATCTCATCTCTACACTGGAACCAAAATGAAACTAATGAGAGGTTCATTTATGCTTCTTAAAGCCCTTTCCCTCTATACCCTTGCACCACTGGTAGCAGTATTTTGGCCCTTTGGTCACCGCTGTTGGGTCAATACTGTTTATTCTTCACCAGGCTAATAATCACAAATAGTTATAGCTGATTACTTTTATTGACGACATGTTCATTCTGCCATTATGTGTTCACATGGATCCGCTTTCATTCAGCCTCATATTCAGGTGGGTGTAGAGTTCTACCACAGATCCAGATTTTCAGTATTGGCAAAGCCAGGGTCTTTGCGGAGCATCCAGTATGTCCCACTGTACAGCCACACCTCTCTGCCAGCTTCATCCACCGATTTTCTGGGAAAACAGACCAATTAGTGACATGAAACACTGGAACGTCATTCAACCTGGAAACATTAATAAGCCTAAATAAATAAAAATACATAGATTTCTGTGGGAAAATACAGACTCTTAGAACACTCTAAAGAATGTGACGTTTATAATCACATCCAAGAACCTCTTCTGTTGACAGTATCAGTGAGGCAGCCAATCACCACAAAACAAAAAACAGATCAAGCTGCTGATACCCAACTATGTTAGGCATCAAACATTTTATTTAAGCTCTTATTAGTTTCAGTTTTATTTGTCATATGCAAGTTAGCACAGGGTCAACATTGCAATGAAATGTGTTTGACGAGCAGCAGTCACTCAGCAGCATGATACAGTATAAGAAAAACAAATAAACAAAAAAAACACAACATCCAGGATTGTTTCTCAGACAGGGTATAGGATGGCCTTAATTTTAAGGTGGTTTTAAAGACCTAACTAAACTGTTAGGTCAGTGGCTAATGGCTATTTTTTTATTATGTTTTATTTAAAAAAAACAAAAAAAAAACAAAAAAAAACCCCACACACAATGGGTCCCCCTCCCCCTCCTTTTAAACTGCCATCATGTTTATTATTTAGTGCTTTAAATACCAGCTTTTACCACCATTATTGGTTGGACAGAGTAATCTCTTTCCATCTTGTGGTCTGTTACATTCAAAATAATATCCAAATACTCCCATATTAAAAGGCATGCGCTTGAGCAAACCCCACATCTTGTAAACAGATTAGAAAATGACATTTATATACACATTTCCTACAGAAAAAGGCTGATACTGAAGAAAAGGACACCAGATGTGTTGCTGCTTGAATTATTAACTAGACTTTTGACAGTCCACCACAAAACCAGAACGAGGCAACGAGGAAAGCTTCTCACCTGAAGAACCTGGGGATGTGTTCCTCCCCTTTCTTGGCCATTTCTTTCCTCCTTTCCCTTTGGTTCTCCTCCACCTCATCCTTCCTTTTATCTGCTTCTGCTATTTTTCCCTCCTCCAGGAGCCTGATAGAGCAGACAAGAGTAAGGAATTGGAGCGCACAGAAGATGGTGCAGAAATGTCTGTCAGTCTACCATAGTTTAAATTAAACAAGATCTTGTGGATACCTCTGGTCCGGTCTGAAACGTGTATCCGTAGGTGGAAGGACAGCCTTCAATTCTGAAGTCAGTTCATTAAGTTCCCTGGCATAACTTGAGAAGCCATAGAACTTGACATAGTCATCAGGCTGTACATCTGTATAGAAAAGGATATCGTGGATATTTAAAGATCTTTCATCTAAAACTTGAACATAGTTGACAAAACTCAGCGTTTGTGTATAAAGTAGATTAGCTTAATCATTTGTGGAAGAGATCAATGAGTCAGTCTTGGCTCAGGTTGAAGGTGGTCTTTACATGAGTCATAGGATTGGAGTAATTTGTGAGGGATTTGAGCGCTGAACAGTGGTACTCACTGGGTTTCCAGATACATTTTGGTGTAGGTAGAGTATCACAGAAAATGCCTTCATGCCAGAGACCTCCGAAACGATGAATCACTGACCCAGCCTGGTCCAAAACCACACCCTGCACCTCATTCTTACTGCTGTCCGAGCTCCAGTAGCGGGACTGGGATGAAAAGATGAAGACACTTAGCACAATTTCAATGCATTACATGGACCTCTGGCTAAATTAGAAAAACTATGCATATGTGCATGTCCTTACCTTGACAAAGGTAATCTTGCAGGTGCACACATCACTCTTTGTGTTTCTGATGATCACCTCACCATAGTGCTCCAAAGAGCGTTGCTGACTCAGGACATTGTGGATACATGTAACGGCCTTATTCCATTCATAGTGATCACCATACCTAAACAAAAAACAAATTATACTGTGATCATTGCATAATGAAATTGAAACAGTTTTTAAATGTAGATGATTCGTACAGGCTCAAATTGTATATGGATTTCTAGAAATGCTGGTGCCTTGTGACAGCAAACTGCAAACCAGCCATCCTTTGCTTTAGTCTATCTTGTTTACTTTTTACTAACATTTATAATATTGTCACTTCTGTGTCAGCATTTGTATCCAAAAAGCCTCAAGATAGTCTTCAAGGTCTCCCACTCATCCGATCAATCTTCTAGCCTGTTTGCATTTCTCCTTTTTATCTGGACAAATCACGCCTTTGAAAAATGAAGCCAACATGCAAGTGCCAGAAACTGCACTTCCTTCAATGGACAGTTTGGTGAAATTGTCCAGCTTTGGAGCAACATTACTAGAGTTATTTATTTAAAAACAAACAAACAAAAAACAAACCCATACACGCTTTTGATCAGTCCTTTTTATAAAAACATTATTGTATGTAAAAGTTTCAATTATTCACCAATCTTGATATAGAGCAATGATTCTTTGTCATCTCTTGTACTAGTGTATGGTGTTGTATACTACTACTACTGAAATATTAAAACACTGTCCCTTTGTTTGACATCTTTTGTGGTTAAAAGTGGCATAAAATCATCACCTGGGTAGGGTAACATTAACCAGTCCAGAAGAGATGATCTCCACAGACTTGCCCCAAAACTTGTACTTCCATCTCTGATCTGAGAGCAGAATTAAAGAAGGAAAAGCTGCAGTGTTAGGTCTGATTACTGTATATCTGGGACTTGCTTAAGAAACCAAAAAACAAAAACAACACACCTTGCCAGAAAGTGAAGTTTTCTGACTCTGCATGGCAAGCAGAGATGGGTGGATGGTGACTGACCTGAAAACATAAGACAATACAGCATTAAAGTCTGTTCTAAAACACCAATAAGCCGAATCATTATGTCTTCAGGTTACCTGTTCACTAATGTATTGGAATCCTTTGTCTTCTCTGTAATTCTCATACGTTTCACCCAGGACAGGGTTGAAGGGTTTGTAACGATTCCTCCAGGATGCCCAGGCATAACCAGAGATGGAGAATGCTGCTACATAAACCTAAAAACAAACAAGACAAAAACAAATTTTTTCCTAAATCCTCAACAAGCCTTACACCAAATTCAACTTGATTTGACCCCCAGCAGGTCAGAAATCATAAGCAATCCCAACACACCATCCTCTCATATGGATCATCAATGTTGCTGGCAATGTCCAGCAGCTCAGAGTACTCCAGTTCTTCACTGAGCCTCTGCAGCAATGAGAGTGGCTCATTGAGAGCAACTGGCATAGACACTCTGGACAGATCCTTGCCAATGTTGTTGTAGAGGATGGTCATAATGCCAATGTGGCTGTTGTCTGCGCAGGGGGCAGGCAGGGTAGTGCGACGACCTGCATGGTAACACCACAAAAGAGCGTAACATATTAAACAAAATGGATGATTAAAAATACAACACACACAACAACAACACCACCACACACAAAATGAGATAAACCTGGTCAACTCTAACCAAGAATAATCACAATATCCACATGTTCCAGGCCTCACTGGTGGTGCTTCCAAAACCTTTTATGGCAGCGGTCCTCAATGCCCGGGCTACGGACCGGTACCGGTCCGTGAGTTGAGGCTTGGGTATGAAATTTATAGTTTTAATCGTTATTTTTAAACTCTGTTTCCCTGGGTCTTTCCCTGTGCGTTATGAATAAATCTTCTTTTTTTGGTACCGGTACTGGTTTTATTTTGTTGTATTTATCCATGACATCTTAAAGGCAGGTCTGTGAAAATGTTGTCAGACAAACTGGTCCGTGGCGCAAAAAAGGTTGGGAACTGCTGTTTTATAGCATTTTTCGAGATTCTTAAGATCCTTATTAAATTACAGGCCATACATGGTTAGAAATGTTGAAGGTCTCCCAAATGACAATTAAATAGTCTAGTATGGAAACTGCCACGCATCAACATGCAGAGCCCTCCGGAGGATTATTGGCAGCTCTCTACCCAGTCTACAGAACATTTACACCTCATGCTGCATTCGTAAAGCCACTAGCATCATGGCTGACCCACATCACCCCTCCCACCAACTGTTTACTCCTCCTCCATCCAGAAGACGACTCTGCAGCATCAGGAACAGGTCAGCGAGATTTTTTATTTATTTATTTATTTTTTAAACAGTTTGCACCTTTGATCCAGGAGGACATCATTTTGCCCCACTGTATACTTTAGTGTATATTGTAGAGTTTTATTGTCAACCCAACAAAGCTCTACTGGACTAAACATAATTGAGGTAGGTTTTGGAGTCAAGGGTAGCACCAGTTATGGCAGAAACTCACATTAGCCCAGATAAACTCATGGCTGTCCTGCTGCCCTTTTCCATGGGCAAGTGCCATTTGGGACATAAAATTTGAGTTGCTTCAGCCTGTATATGGCTGCTGCTGCAAGCCACTTTGCAAAGCATGCTCATCCGAGCTGAAACCTAAGTGGTTTTGACAAAGCAACAGTTTGGTTCCAAATGTATACAGGCTACTTCACGTCTGAATTTTGTGTGAATCAGAAGCACAATTAGCAGCCATGTCTGTCCTACTGTTATCATTCCTTTCATATTAGCGGTTACCATGTTGAAATATAAATTTACAGGTTTGCTTAACAGAAGATTACTTTACCAGTATCAGGAGGCACTGGCCGTGGCTTGTGACTTGCACTGTTCAAACTTTCTCTGTAGTTAAGAGTAGCAGCAGCTGTGGAGGACAGAGGAAACAATGACTTGATGTTTTTGTTTCATGTTAACCTTTGTTGTGACACAGAAAATCGTGCAGTGGTGATTTATTTGAAAGTAAATACTCACAATGTCCTTCTTCAGGCTCTGATGTGCTAGTGGTGGTAATGTCACTCAGGCCCGATTCATCAGAAGCCTCGGCCTCTGACGAAGTCTCGCACACTATTACCTCGCTAGCATCAAAATACTCTGCCATAGAATCTGCCACTGAAGGTGGACGGTTACTGTGACGACTTAAGGAAGGCGTTCTCTGTAAGGATGAAACATGGTTCCAGCTATAGTTTGACCATTTAAGTCCAATAAACAAGTCTACCTGTAAGGTGTGCGAAGTGAATTCAGAACAGTGACGACTGACATGCCGCTACCCACACAACTTGCTCTGTAAGAATTGTAGGTGCAGCTGTCCCAACTGTGAATAACAGCAGCACCACCACCCACGTCACTAGACTGTAAATCATTCCATGTTTTCCTTCTTTTGACCAAAGTTTCCCACAATCTTATAGCTTCAGTCAGATGAAATTTCTTCATGATCCTGAGCTAGAATTCAATGTTAATCAGGATGATTATCAGTGACACCAGAAAAAAAAAAAAAATTAATAATAATAATAATAATAATACTACTACACACATACACTACACACCTGGTCTGGACGGACAGTGCAGAAGGATTCTTCAGAAGAGTCAGAGGACAGGGAAAGCGAATGGACTTTGGTCAGATGGGACTGTATATCAAGCTGCATGCGCGCAGGCACACATGCACACAAGCCATGCAGGAGAAGTGCAGAAGAAACACACAGGATCAAAAATGCATGCAGCGAATATCACGCACACTCCAAAGCACAAACACAGCAGAGGTGAGGCAAATATTACTTGTTGCCAAGTGCAGTTGCTCTCCAGTACAGAAAATACCAGCACAATCAAACTGAATTATGTATAATATCTTAGCAAGGACAGAGCTTTTTAGTGGGCCAGGTAGGACTTTAATAAATGAACTTAGTACAAGTTAGGAAAGGTCCCTTCAGACATTTAATATTTCTGAATTATCCATCACTGTGGATATCAGTTGATAGCCAGTTGCCAAGCAACTATTAACAAAACACCCTCTTGCAAAAGAAAGGATCTTTATCAATCAATTCTTCGTAGAAAAACTTTATTTATTTACCCTTTAAACTCACTAAATTATGGTTAGTAAACAACTCTAAAGCGATTTTGAACAAGAGGGTGAAAGTCTCACCAGTTTCCAGTAGAGTGCTATAACAGTAAATAAACAGGGTAATAACATACATTTATTAACCATGGGATATGTTCATCACTGTGGATATCAGTTGATAGCCAGTTGCCAAGCAACTATTAACAAAATAAAGCCCAAAGTCACAGCCGCTGATGTTCAAACATGCAGTCACATGCACCATGGTAAGAAGCCAAGAGGAAAGCAAGAAGTGTTGCATAAGCACAGTCAGTCTGACAGCAGGAGCCAACAAGTCCCTGACCTGACTGCTTTGTTTCAGTATGCGGCAGTCGTTTTATATGCATATTTGTGTGTGAAAAGAAAGGAATACTTGAGGTGTGTTCCTTTAAGTTCCACCTGTATTAACTTGTGCCCGTCTTACCTAAAAACAGCCCAAACCTGCTCAACAGTATCACTTAGGGCTGGGCCCATTGTTGCCGTTTGCAGGGCTACACTAAGATTTAGAGTGTTGGAAAGACACTAACTGGGGTATGGTGAAGGATCTAGTCTGTGTTTTTATCTGGTTTATGACATCAAGAATTAGAAGTCAGGTTAAGTTTGCTTCCACGTAGGCCAGAAGTGTCCATGTTTGTATACATATGTGTCTGTTACCTCAGACAATGTGCTACAGATGGTAGCGAGCTGCTGTGAGGTGTTCTGCCGCATGTCTGGGCCGGTCCAGGCTTGCCTCAGTCTCTCACGCTCCAAGGTCAAAACCTCATGAATGGACTTCAGAGAACTGTGAACTGAAACACAGCAAAAGTGTAAGTGATAGATGAGGATTTTCACACTCTCAGCAATATGTCAAAATGTGTCAGGGAATATGTAAAGGGAAAAAAAGTCAATGCTAATGCAGAGACTTAGCCAAGTGGCAGCAAGGCCATACCTCTCTGAGAAGAAGTGCAGATCTCCTGGTGGAGCTTCTTAGCTTCAGGTGAGGTGACTTGAGGATTGGACAGCTGAGAGTAGACGTAGTTTGGAATGGACTGTACAGAAGTGGAATTTGTGCTCAGATGACTGGAAGTGAACTGCTGGAGATGAAGAGAAAAGGAAAAGAGTCACAGAATTGTATGAGGCTAAACAGTGGTGAGCTGTCTGATGGTACTGTAACAAGACATTAAGTAACAAATTCCTACCATTCCCCCCATGGCCTCAGCACGAGACAGAGTCCTGGAGTGACCCGGCATTCGCCCATTCTTTTTCTTGGGTTTTTCCAGGGAGAGATTCTAAACACAGAAGTACAAAATTATAGCTTCTGTTTCCAGACCATTTTCTTTTGCAGGTTAGGGTTGAGCAATTCTGAAGCTGAGAATGAAATCCCAACAGCATTATATCACAGTTCCATCCTATAGTTTATATATGGTGCTGTTAAGGCTAATCTGGTATATAGTTGGTTAAGATAGTGAATGACCTGGAATAATATTTCAGAATGAGCAATTATGGGTGTATTTTGTTTAATTTCTTTTTGCATTTCCTAAAGAAAAACTATGGTGAAGTGTTACAGCCTTTTTACTGGATGCCTATTGTGCTTGATACCATAAATTTTAAAGCCCATTTAAAACATTTCAGATTTTTGCTTAGATTAAACATCAAACTTTGTGTGAAATTACTTCTCTCCCCCCCGGTTGTTAAATATTCTTTGACAAGTGACACACATTCACATTTGGGACCAGCATACTTGCCTGCATGCTGATTCGCATCTCCAGGTCTGTGTTAGTGATAGGGTAGCCTCCTTCCAGCCAATTCAGTCTCTGGATAAGTTGAGCCAGTTCTGTCAGATCTGCCTGACAACGAGCCAGTTCTGATAGGCAGTGGGTTAAAGGTCACAGTTTAAAAATGGAACGAAGGGACAGGCACACCTACTGATCAAATCTGTATTCATTGTTAAATATGGAGGACATATGATCAAGAATCAGGCCTCTCTTTCTGGCGCCATCTCTAATGCAGCTCTCACCATTGGAGGTTGCATCTATGTCGTGGGTCTGCTGCAGCCAAGCTGATACCTTGCTGGTCACACCTGGTTGACTGGCAACAGCTGGGGCAGGACTTGCCATCTCTGGATGGTACACCGATGCAGAGCTGGCATAGTGAGGAATCTGCAGGATCATATATCAAGGTTAAAAGAAAGCACTTTCACAATTACAGTATCTGTAGGCAACTGCTGTTTTTCAGACTACAGTGATCATGGATTACATAAATACCATTTTCTGTATTTTTTTGATAGTCAGCTGTCTAAAGTATTATCATCCAAATTATTAATACTCAAACATTTTTTGGTCGCAAAAATGTTCACCAGTCTATCTGCGATTCTCCATTTGATTGGATTCCTATAGCACAAAGTAAATTTCCTTTCAGCTGTGGACAGTTTACTGGAGCAGGAAGTTATACTGACTGTTGCTCTGCTTTGCTGAGAGAAAGCCGGGAGAGTGCTCTGGCCCAAAGAAAGCGCATGAAGCACACCACGGTGGACACTCATGGCCTCATTTTTTCTGAACACACGATGGGCACACAGCTTGGTCAACCAGATGTAGAAAATGTCGTGACTTTTTGCCTAATACCAGAGAGAAGAGAACTTATTTAATTTGGATACATCTGATTCTAGCCACAGTAAACACTTGACTCATCCAGGAACCAATAAGTTACCTTGAGGTGATACAGGTTGTCTCCAGCATCCAGGTCTATGCGTTTGGTCTTCTTATTCACAGACATGACAGCCATGCTGATGTCCAGAGAGCCATGCAGCTTCCCTCTTTGAATCTAAACACAATGGCAGAGGACATTTAACACTTTATTCTTCATCAGAGCGTATCATTATTGTTTGATGTTTTTGTGTTGGACTTACATCTTGCTGGGTCTTTGAGTACTTGAGAATGCCTTTCTCCAACAGAAAGTACCTCTAAAAAGAGAGTTTGGCAAATTAGTTGTTGATAAAAATCTTTACTGTTCAACCCTGCAGGATTTACTACAGTTTCACTGAGAAACTGGAAGAGCAAAATAGTTTTAATTCTCTCACTTTGTGCCAGCCTTTGAGCGGATATTTTCTCCTTTTCATCAAGTAGCCCTCACAGATCCCAGGAATACTGAGATCTCCAGATGACCCTGGAACCAAGCCCCTGTCAACATGCTGCAAGTCATCCACTACCTCCCAGTGCCGAGACTGATAGAGACAGAAAGCACTTTAAAATTATATTTATGAAAACACAGCTTTTAGTTTCAGGTGTCAGTCAACATGTGGAGGAATTCTGTGATATGGATTGCAAGAGGGGGCAGAAATGGAGAAAATCTCTGGAAGCCCATTTGTACCAAGTGGGTTACAGTTTTATCTTTTACTTTACAATATAATTAGTGTCTTTTTTTCTTTTTACCTGTTTTGAGTGCTTGCCAGAACCTGTGCTGCTGCTCCGTGAGTGGCCAGGTCTGAAAGTGCTTGCTGGGGATTTGTCAAGGCCACTAATCACTGACTGGCTGCTACTGAGAGGTGGTGGACAAACCTGAGGGTCCATTGGTGCAATGTAATGAGAGTAGCGTTGCATGGAGAGAAATGACCTTCAACCCAAGTTGTTTCTCATGGCAATGTACACAGTGCTGGGGGGACAAGAAAAAGCTTCATGACAAGTCAAAAAGATAACATACAAATGTACAACATCACAGTCACAGTCAAAGCAAAATTAAAGCCGAGTTGGAAAGGTGGATAACAGGAATGACACAAGCAGAGTTTTAAAAACCTTCTTCTAAAAGAAACAAATGTATCCACAGACATGCAACTTTCGACTTTTAAAGTAATATGTTTGAGAACAAAAGAAGCCTGGGTGGAACCATGATTCTAGTTTGTCCAAGAGTTACAAGTGGTCCTTTTACAGTACAAACAGAAACAAATCTACAGTCTCATTGTTTGTCTAAACTGCAGGCATAAGGCAATATTTTATCTGTGTCTGTAACGATGTCACCATTAAGTTCCTGACTTTAACAACATTAAAGTCAGGAACTGAGAAGATATAATTGTCTCACCAAACGTAAAAACAAAAAAACCAAACATTTTAAAACCATTTTAGAACTTTAATCTTAGATTGGCTCGTAAAATTTAATGTGGATTAAGGATCAAGACAAATTATTTGTTATGAACATAGAGGTGACAAATTAAAGGTATTATGAAGCCATCAACCATATACTCAGACCATCTGGTAGCCCTTACGCTATGGGGAGCATTTTCCTCCAATGGTCCGTGTCCATGTTTTCCCTTAAAGGGAAGGGCACCTGCAATCAAAAGCAGGATTTTCCTGTAGAGGAAAGGAATGACCGCTAAAGGGACTTCGTGAGTTTTATGTGACTGCCATGTTTGTGTGTGAGATATCATACTTCCTGCCACTGAAATCACGAGGTATGAAAGAAGTCTAGATCTTACTAGTCTGTTAAGTCAAGCAGGTGGACAATTAAATGCATAATTTAAAAAAACAAACAAAAAAAACAGTTTTATGGTCCACTGAGCCAACGGTGGTTCTTCCTACTCGATTTGGAAGGGAAGTCGGAAGACCCTTACACCCAATTCCAACACTTACATTTGTTTTTTCTCATTCAGACAGATCAGCTTATATGAGGAAGAATCACTGACAAAATTCCAGTCTGAAATTCCAAGAAGTCTTAACCAGAGACTGGTGTCCGTTTGTTGCTTAAGGCATGCAGCTTTGAGCACATAATCTGTACTTAAAGGAAATTTGGATTTGCATGTGACTGCATGTTTTCTCTTCAGTGTGGAAGAGTTGCACCTTTACCCTTCTCTCTCTGTGGAATATTAATCACATATTAATCTTAATGTCCTACTTGGGGACAACTACAACTATAGAGAATGTGATCAATGCCTGACACAATCTACTTAGTTTACAAATGATTCAGGTCTGACTTTCAGTATATGGATAGAAAAACCTCCATCAAAACTAAAACTAACTACTATCTAATCATGGCTTACATTTGGGTGATATGACAGCAAATACAGGATTGTATATCGTAAACAAAGATATAAAAGTTTATCCAAACAATCAACAACAAACAGTAAAAAAGTAGACAACTACATCAACAGTAATATTTGTGACTATGTATCTATGTAGAATGCACATAAAAGTCATATAAAATAGTGGGAAGGCACAGAGACAAAATAGTAAATGAAACACACCTGTGTTGGACTGACAAGCTGCAGCAGCAGGACTCCACAGACAGTTCCTTATACCTTCTCCCAGAAACAATTGTAGAGCTGTAAAATGTCTTCTGTGGAGAAAAATCACAGCACAGAGACTTTCCTAGGGTGTTCCTTCACTGTGTGATCTCCCTGCTCTTGTCCTCTGAGTTAAACAAAAAGCAATACCACACCTGACTGATGATGTGCTTGTTAGACTGGTGTAAATCAAAGCCAGTGGGTATCTGGGCGGGGCTGAAAGCTAAGGAACATGACCTGACCAAACAGGCCTTCCAACTTTGTCATCTCAAAGATGGCATGCGTTAGAACAGATTTGCAATCAACAGATATGCCAAAGTCTTGAGTTACTTTCAGTAATTAGCTCTGACCTACAAAGGTCTTAAAGAGAGTAATGAGCTGACAATTCTGTCTGATATCAGAGTGGTTTTCTGAAAGCAATCTGCTGAAAATGTGAATGTCAATGTTTACATCAGTGAGAAAGTCATTTTCCTTTAATGTCTGTATGGGTTCTCAGTCTACCAGGTATCATGGTAGCCCTTTTTCACAACTTGGATGGGAGGTGACTCTTCAAGAAACTTAAAGAAGTCCAGTTGCTTTCTTTTAAGCTCCTTCGCATGCATACACACACAGGCAGACACACATGCACACATATTTTGCTGCCCCAAACTACTCAGTAAATCTGAAACAAAAAGGAACCCCCTGCAGGCTTGGCTTCAGGATTAAAGCCAGAGTTACATTTAGGTTTGGTACTCTGTTGTGATGGTCAAATGTAGAGTTAAGGGGGCCATAAGATTATGAGTATTGATTAATATTTATCACTGAATGTCCTCACAAAGATAAGTAAACATACATGCTCGAGTGTTTTGTGTGCTTGTAGGTGTGTGTGCCCCCCCTGTACACAGAGTGAGGAAGACAGCAATAACTCCACTGGAAACAGAAAATTATTTCTATCTTACAACTGTGGTCTACATACACTCATCATGGATGTCGTGGTATTTGGACGTTATAAATGATTTCTTTGAACTGTTCTTTTTATCAAGATTTGAGTGCAGAGGTTTGACTTTATTTTTGATTTTCTATAAGATACATACAAGGTCAAAAATGTAGAAATAAGCTTAAAGACACTGGTACAAAAATAAAGGAACACATAGAAAACACAGATCTTAAAGGAAAAAAATCTTGCTGGGTATATATTGTTGAAATGGATTGAGTAATATGTTAGGAATGAAAGGATGCCATATTTTTTTGATGGAAATGAACATTATTGTCTTACAGAGGACTAGAAATACGCCTCAAAAATGAAAGTGAAAAAATGTGGCAGATTAGTCCATATTGCTGAAATTTCATTGGTGCAGCTCAAAATGGTACTTTGTATGGCCACCGTGTGCTTTTAAGCATGCCTGACAATATTGTGGCATGCTCCTAATGAGATAACAGATGATATCCTGCTAGATCTTCTCCCAAATCTGGACCAAGACTGTCTGAGGTGGAAAGTTACAGACAAAATAACATTCTCCATAGTTTCTTCACGCTCTATCCAAGAACACTGCACCAGTGCTGGGCCTGCCATTTCTGGTATTCTCTGGCAAATGCCAGTTTGGCTCCATAGTGTTGGGCAGTGTTGATAGGCCATGTAAAACCAGAGTCATGATAAACAATATATAAGCTGCGTTTTTTCCTGAATAGTTTCGTCACGTTTAACGACAGCGCTAGCAAGCACTCTCTGCTTATGACCAAAAAACAAAACAAAAACAAAAAAAACCCCTGCCCTTTCCTGTTGGTGGAAAAATGCACCATGCCATGATATTTGGTTGTTTAGGAAGAGGGGGAAGTTTTAGGAGTGACAGCAAGAGTGAGAGAGAGAGAGAGAGAGAGAGAGAGAGAGAGAGAGCAGAACAAGAGAGAGAGGGCGTTTTGAGATGTGAGAGATTTATGACATTTAGCGTGTTTGGAGTGTGTAGTTAATGTGTTGTCTTGTGTAGTTAGTGTGTAGTGTTGTGGATAGTTTTGTGTTGTGTGTCAGAACAATGAGGCGACTGCTGTCTCCAGGTAGAGAACAGGAGTGATACACCTGCTGCTGTCAGACCTGCAGGTATCAGGCTGTGATGTTCTCCTTTACAGTGGACAGAAATATTTGGAGTGGCACAAATAATTTGTGTGGCATCTTATTGAATGTAAAAGGTAAATGGCTGCAAATAGCTTTGTTGTTTGCAAAACTTTTAAAATTGACAATTTATATTTGCATTTAAAGTTGTGAAATATGATTCATTAAACATGTTTGTGGTTGTTACAGTAAAAAATATAACTTTCTCTACTCGAATTTTATGTTTTTTTGTCAGATTTTAGATCAATTGTGTTAATATAGTATGTCAAAATGAAATCATAACTGTAAATTCAGACACGTGAGGTTGTGCTGAAAAGAATGATACCAAACAAGGCAAAGTAAATAGTTTTTAAAGGTGAAATGTACAGGGAAAATCAAAAGTAGTTAAAAATGGGCAATTATACCCTGGACCTCAGAGGGTTTTGTTTTTTAAAGTAACGCAATAGTTACTTTTCAAGTAATTAATTACTTTTAGAAAACTGTAACTCCATTACGTTTTTGAAGAAGTAACTAGTAACTGTAATTAATTACTTTTTCAAAGTAACTTGCCCAACACTGGTTGTGACGCATGAATGTTACTTACCACCAATGTTACTTGCCTTCCAGCTGAAGATAAAAGCAGTATAGGACACTATTACAGAGCACGTACCCTATATTAAACATTTTTGTCATTCAGGAAAAGCTCATGGTTGTTGAAGAAGTAACTCATGTACCTGTTCCCCTTCTTTGTTTGCTAGATATCCACACCGTCATGTCCTCACAAAAAAACAAAACAAAACACAACAAAAACAACCTTAGGTTGATGTCATAACCCAGGGATAATGCTTATATTTTGAGTCATGACAAGGTCAGAGGAAGATTTCAGATCAACTATGTCAAGTATGTGGTCTGACCATTAAACCAGAGTTTGTATAGTTTCTGTGCTAAAGCCCCAAAAACATGTTAAAAAAAAACCCTATGAATTTCGCCTTGACTGGAGAAGAAGAAATTACATGGTATAAATGATAAAACTTACTGTTTGAATTCTGCAGAGAAACTACTGCCAAAAGGAATGTAGAAAAATGATTTGAGTGATAACATTATCCCTATGGCACTTTTATGAATTTTGATGCTTTGTGCTAAAGTGTCCTCAGGCAAGATACTGAACCCCAAGTTGTTCTCTGATGCATTTATCAGAGAGTGAATATTGTGTGAGTCCATCATGACGTAACCATAATGTGTATGGGAAACATTACACAGCCCAAGCAAGCCAAATATGGAAGTCATATTTGGATTTAATTGAAAGATGAAGACTGTTTTGTTGTCTGTGATTAAAGCAAAGTTGTCCAGAACAATCTGCCATCCTGTCTCTGTGACAACACTTTAGACAGGTTTGACACGTAATATGACTGGTTTTCTCTCTAGTCACTCCTCCATTTCTCTTTTCCCTCCTCCCTTCAGGAATGTGCCAGAACAACATGCACAGGCTGTTGGGCAACATTCGAATAAAGGGATACTTTAAGGCCAACTGAGCACTGTTCAAACACCAGAGCCTACTAGAGTATATAGAGTTATATACAGAAACAAAACAATTAACTCATGTCAAACAATAAGATATGCATTTTTGTGTGTTGGGTGTAATCCTTTTAATGGTTACTGGGGATTTATCTTTCAGCGAAAACTCTACTTTATAGCTACGTCAAAGCTGCAAACCTCTCGAAAACCCTGAAATATAACCTACAGCATAACCATTACCTATGGCATAACCTGGTGTGTAACTGCCTAGAAATGTAACTACTGTACATGTCTGATAGCTGCAGTTTGAAACTCTTGATTTATCTGTTGAGTACTGTTGATGCATTTCTGGCTACTTTTTTCCCTCAGTTATTGAAAATGTAATTGAGAGACAATCAAGAACAATCAAGACAATTGAGAACAATAATCATCAGGAATCATAGTCTAAGATTTATTTTAAGGACACACAAATCTCAACAAATTAAAACTGAGGCCAACATGGAAGTGTCAAAAATGTCTTCTGATGACCACTTGGAGTTGGCTCCACACTCCCAAGCTAACAGTAGCACAAAGAACGTGCAAAAAGCATTTTATGACTCTGTGGATAGTTTCCCCTTTCATTTTCATGGTGGGTAATTTTTTTCTGTGAATTCAAACAGGACTTGGTTAATTTGATTGATTTAGTGTAATTATCATATTTTAGACCATCTAAGTTTGTGCTTTAGTTTTGCTGAGCAAAATTCCAATATTTTATTATTTTTATTATTTATTTTATTAATCTGTTGCTTAGCACTACTTCCCTGCACAGGGAGGAACACTGGTTTGAGCAGGGAGTCAATTTAAATGAAAAAGGAAAGACCATCTCTGAATCAAGGATTGGGCATTGGTCATTGGTCAATGACCAATGGTCATGACAATTTGCATATTAATGACAATGAAACTGACATCACGGCCCATTGTTAGGCTACGTCCACACTAGCCAGGAGAGATTTGAAAACGGCGTTGTCGTCTGAAAACGCTCCGCGTCCACACTAGCGTTTTCAGTCGTTTTCTACGGTGGCCCCTAGAGACAAAGCACGTACAAACTCCAAAACACGTACAAACTCCAAAACACGTGCAAAATACAAAACACGTGCAAAATACAAAACACGTACAAAATACAAAACACGTGCAAAATACAAAACACGTACAAAATACAAAACACTTACAAAATACAAAACACGTGCAAAATACAAAACACGAAAAATAACATGCAAAATACAAAACACGTACAAAATACAAAACACGTACAAAATACAAAACACGTACAAAATACAAAACACGTACAAAATACAAAACACGTGCAAAATACAAAACACTTCAAAATACAAAACACTTCAAAATACAAAACACGTACAAAATACAAAACACGTGCAAAATACAAAACACGCATACAAAACGCAAAATACAAAACACGTACAAAATACAAAACACGTGCAAAATACAAAACACGTACAAAATCCAAAACACTTACAAAATACAAAACACGTACAAAATACAAAACACGTGCAAAATACAAAACACTTACAAACTCCAAAACACATGCAAGCTCCTA